TTCATCTTCTCATTTGCATTTTGCTTTTAGTTTATTTCCTGGGTTGATACTTATAACTGCCCCTGGTTAGTAACTTTATTGCTAGTATTTAGAACCTACAGAAAACAACTACTTCTCAGAGATAACTTTCAAGTATAGTTGGCTTTTGGGTTCTGAGTCTGTTCCAAGATCCTACCTGTTTAATTTATTGTGGATGAGAAGTTACTACCTACTGGGCCCACCTCCTGGTTCTTTGGTACTGGCCTAAAGTATTTTTTATGACCCTTAGCCAATCTCAGTCTTGGTATACCAGGAAAAACAATGGGTTAGAATAATTATCTCACTTTCATTAAAGTGATATAATCAGCAATAACAATAGCATTAAACACAGTCTAGAAAGTGACAGACTGAGATAACTATTAACTTTCCTCTTTTAACCATCTGAACTAGATTTATATAACAAAATCTAAAACAAACCAGAAAATTGTACCCAATAAATAACCCCTGAATATGCCACTGTTAAAAAATATGGCAATGTTATCCTCAGGGGAGAACATTTAAAATGTGTTAGGGAGAAAATAGAGCAATACAACAAAAGGAAGAGATTAGAAAAAAGGCTAGTGGACAAAAGAGGATCATGCCATCTTTGAGAAACTGGTGCATAAGATAGGAGGTAAAGATAAGAAAAATCAAAACCAGGACAGAACAAGAATAGCAAAAAAAACTCAGAAACCATGTTCACCCTCCTAAAAAACAAGAATGAAGAAAAAAAAAAGGCAAACAATCAAAAATAAGAGAAAAAGGAAAAAAAATATTCACTTCAAGATGTGACTCTGGTGCTATGGGGGCAGACAGAGTCCAGATCCATGTCAATGAACCCCAGAAAGCCAGCAGTAGCTCCATGGTGAAGCAGTGGATAGTCCCAGTGAGTCTGCACCCATTTCCACTGAAGTTTAGGTTGGCCTCTGGCTGCAAACTTGAACCACAACCACCCAGCCTGCAGCATTCCCCACACCCTCTGCAGTGTTCAAGTTGGCTGGGAGCCACTAAGTGGAGCCAGGAGCATCTCTTAAGTCCTGAGCTCAGCTGGTCTCTCTCCAAGATGGCTCCTGGCCAATTGCTTTCTCACAGAAGAAGTCCCATTGTGACCAATTCACCAGCCACTGCAGTCCACTGTAGTACACCACTCTGCTCCATTGGTGTACTGCTCGGTGGAGGCCTCTGAAGTTGTCAGCAGTCACCAGGTTTCTGCAGGTTCAAGTCACCCCTCCCACATAGTGTGTGTGTCCAGGCTCAGGGAGAAAGTGCTGCCTACCTTCTCATTTGTTGAAGTTTCTCTTTGCTCTCCCCCAGGCTTCATTTCTCACTTCAGATCTTTCCTGGGACTCAGGGCCCCACTTTTCTCCTTCTTCTCTTCCTCACATTGCTATATTCCTGTGTCTGGACACCATGTCTTGGAGAAGCTGTTCCCCTGCTGCTCACCACTCAAGCATCTTCCCGGAAGTCCTGCATGCAATGTCTTGAGAATCACTTTTCACCATTTATGTGTAGATTCATACCTATTTGAAGCAAGGGAGTAAACCATACTCCACTTTGACCAGAAGCGGAGGTTGTACACAGAATCTTTTGACTTTATTAATATTGGAAATTAATTTTAAAATGAAAACTTGAAGATATAGTCTGGTGGTTTTTTGTTTTTTTGGTTTTTGGTTTTTGGTTTTCTTCTGGTACCGGCAATCGAACTCACGACCTCACGCTTGCCAGGCAGGCACTGTGCTGCTGAGCTAAATCCCCAGCCCCCTTGAAGATATAGTTGAATCAGCAAAACCTATATATTGGCTGGCGGTATTGCCCTGAACACCTGTTATGATCTCCAGATAAGAATAGCATTCCTTCTAGATGCACATCTAGATTTCCTCTCCAGTGTCCATGCACCCATCAATTATTGATGTGCAAATAGACTCCTTCTTTCTTGCTGAGAAGAAAGCAAGAATCCTCAGATATTACAGGCCTGCGGTGGGAATTTATATCGCTAAGGAGAGAATTTCCCATATGTTTGCAACCAGCAATTTATCCTACAGGTCTATTATATTTCTATTACCTTAAGTTGTATTGGGACATCTATTTCAGGTCTTCTTTTTCTGAATATGATTCATGACATCAAACTACATGGACATTCTGCTTGGAATCAAGAGCTAAAGACCACAAAAGCCATGATGGGTTCACATCTTTAAGCATATAAAGATGGGAAACAAGTCATTAGAACTCACATCTTTATACTGTTTGTGCAGCTATAGTTAGCCCTTGTAAACACCCCTCATTACATATGTGAACAATACCTTTGCTCTTTCCATTTCCTTCGTCTTTGTTCACCTCTGAGAATTGGCTTGGGAGATATTTTCCAAAAATGGACTTATGGGCTTTGACTATTTGACCTGTCCAACATATGGACTCAATCATATCAAACCTGACTTCAGCTGCAGAGGCTCTATTAGCCTTTATTGTAGGCTGCACTGAAGTTCTGCTTCTTCCCTCAGCAGTGTTAGCACACATTTGCAGGTTTCCTCCAACAGAGGGCAACTTCCAGGCCTCTATACCTTCCTCGATGTTTTTCTTTGAATATCTCATCTGGAATCCTCTCTCCTTCATAAAACGTCCTAAATCTGTTTATTGAAATTAAGATCATCTTCCTACTTTGCCTGGACCATAGGCTGAATTCTGGCCCTCTGCTATCTTGACAGTTGCTTAAGTGTACGTGTATCTGTGTTTCAAAACACACATTTTTCCCCCTTTGGTTTGGTCTGGGCTTTTTTATTTTTTAGACAGGGTCTTGCTATGTCATTCAGGGTTGTCTTGAACTCACCAGGAAGCCCAGGTTTGCCTTGAACTTGTGGCAATTCCCCTGCCTGAGCTTCCCAAGTGCTGGGGTTACAGGCATGTGCCATAATTGGCTCACAAATGTTTTATATTAGGGACTCAGCAATATAGAAAGGCTCAAGGGGACTAGTGCTACAAGGTCCCTCTTTTTAAAAGTTGTTAGAGAAACAATGTTCCCTTCTAACTGTGGCATTTGATCTATTTAGTCTCTATAGCAGCCAGGCAGTGTCAGTATTATTTTCTCAACAAGGGGGGTTTTGCTATGAATACTTACAAAGCAGAACCTGTGTTGAAACTTTTGAATGTTCTCAGCTGGACAACTTCATCAGACTCTTGGGGATGATTCATAACCTATTTTTTGACTTTGTAGATGTGTGCAAAAGGATTCATCTTGTTCTCCTTGTCTTGACTGAAATTTGTGCTTATACCTAAAGCTCTAATGTTTCGTCATTTAGCCTTAAAAGAACTAACCAGCTTGTAGAGCTCAATTTCCTGACATGGAGGAAGATCCAAAGAGGACTTTGTTGCCAACAGTGATGGAAGGCATGTAATACCCGTTCATCAGTCCATTTATTCACACATTCACTTTATTAAGCACATGCCTCAAATCAGGTATTGACAGCACTCAAACTGCACACATAACAACTGGTTCAGTGATGGTCATGTTCCGTAAGCCAAGTCAATGAAAAGCACTGAGGATTTGCTGGAATTGTGAGGAAAAAGCTCTGTCTGGGCTTGATTTGCTAAGAGATCTGAGTTAGTGTTGCTTATAGCTATCTAACCGCTTTTTGAAGTGGCCTCTCTATTAACCTGTTGGGGTAAAAACCAGAGCTGTGCTATGGTAAGCATTTCCCAATATGACTGAGACATGGATACTGTTGTTCCTCAATCCAGTTAAAGAATATCACTGACATATAATGGTGTGTTGGGTAGAACCTTTTCACTCGAGATAACAAAATCTCAAATGCCATAAAGAATAAAACCTGAAACATACACTTTATAATTGTCCTTTCCTCCCCAGTGTCCATGCACCCATCACATTAATCTGTACCATATTCATGGTCACAAAATTGGAAGTCACGAGGACATTGACACTATTCCATTTTTACCTAGAAATTAGAATACATGAATCCATTCTCTTTACAAATCTATAACTATCTGTCCAAGTTAAGGGCAGAGAACTAAAATTCCCTTAGTATTTCAAGAACATACACATGGCAGGAAGTTAATGCTTTCAAAATTGCTAAACCAGCTAGAAAAGTACTGAGGTCAACTTCTGGGTTATTGATTTCAAGGTAAATCTGCTAAGTATGACCCAGGGATCAAGAAATGAGTGTTGCTGTTACCAATGCTCAAAGCCACAGGACTTGAAACCAGATACTGGAATAGAGTCCAGCTGCAGTAAGTATAACAACTTGCCTGTTTACCTAGAATATCACCCAAAACATACACACACACACACACACACACACACAGAGGCACATACGCACACATGTAGGCACACATCCATAGATGCACAAAGCAGCATAATACTCATCACATGCTTAGTGCTCATCCTTTAGGATGCAGATTAACAAATACACCCACAGGTCAGTCTGCTCTAATCTCTTAATTATCTTCTCACAATACTTGAAAAAATTGTTTTAAATTTATTTGCTATTTATCCTTTGTCAGGTATCATCCATGAGAAAAGGATAAATCTGTCAATTTTTACTACAACAGTTACCAAATGTGCTTTCTGGACAAATAGCATTAGTGTCACCTGAGAATTTGTGGAAAATGCAAACTCTTGGCTTCACCTCTAACCAACTTAAAACAGAAACTACAGGGTTGCAGCTTAACTATCAGTGTTTAACAAACTTTCCTGTTGACTGACATATCACTGAAGTTCAATAAGCATTTATTATATCTTAACCCACAGTGTTGTGCAATATGATTGAGTGATGCTCAACAAATTTTCTTCAAGCAGTGAATTAAGCTAACTCAAAGTATACTGCAAATTATCCTCACCACAATAATGATCTCATCACAGAGACCTGGCCATTTTTCTCTAGGATGTTATCTCACAAAAAAAGAATAAAATTATGGCTAAAATTAGTGAAGTAGTGAAAATTTTTGCAAGAAATAGTCACAGTGGAAGCTCCTTATATATAAAATGATTTTATTAGAGACAAAAAATTTTAATAATTCTTTTGCAGCTTTGATTTTTAACAATGTAACGTTTATTGTACCCACTGCATGACTAAGTATCTTGACATCCCCATTAGGTAAAAATCATTTCTATGTAGGACTCAAATTCCAAGTTACTACCATCAATATGTTTGTCTCTGCCCCTGCAGAATTTTGTTTGCAAATAATATCAATGCAAAGATTTACACATCATTCCTGTATCCTTTATGTTGCTCTATAACTGATGTCTAGCAAGATAACCCTTAAGTGAACACTCAGCTGCATTTATGTCAGATTTCTCTCCAGTGTAAGGGATGTACTTCAACTGGAGGACTTCCCACATGTACTTAATTTTCTATGTTACTCCAACTTGCCTCCTGTACAAGTCTTTGAGAAATTCAGATTTCTCATATTTGTTATATGTATAGGTTTTTTTTCTACTGTGCGTTTAATTAAGGAATTGCAGAACTGATGCTGACAAAGGTTTTCTCACATTCACAGTCTCCATATAGTTTCTCTACAGTATGAACTCAGATAATAAGGTTATATCATCACTGAAGATCTTTCCATATTTTCCTTCAATAAAAAATTTCTGATGTTGAATTAGGATCTGTGGCTAAAGTTTACTATAACAAATACTTTTTCATACAGTTTCTCTCTCATATGACTTCTGACATGTATATAAACATTTTTCCACATTCAATGCACTACTGAATTTCTCTCCAACATGTGTTCTTTGATGGGCAGTAAGATTTGAGCCTTTGCTAAAAGCTTTCCCACACTCATTACACTTATATGGCTTTTCCCCAGTATGAATTCTCTGATGTACTGTAAGGTTTGAACTACAACTGAAGGTCTTCCCACATTTAATACATTCATAAGGTTTCTCTCCAGTATGAATTCTGTGATGTTGAAGCAGGGATGACCTGTGACTGAAGGCTTTCCCACATATACTGCATTCATAAGGTTTCAACCTAATGTGATTTCTCAAATGCATATTCAGTGATTCAGGATGGCTGAAGGATTTCTTACATTTCTGACATTCAAAGGGTTTTTCTTCAGTATGAATACTCTGATGTTGAGTAAGAAATGAGAGACTACTAAAGACTTTCAGACATCTGTCACATTCATATTGTTTCTCTACAGTGTGAATTCTTTGATGTCGAGTAAGGTGTGAACTACAGCAAAAAGCTTTCCCACATTCACTACATTCATAAGGTTTCTCTCCAGTATGAATTTTCTGATGGTGAATAAGAGACGACCTATGAATGAAGGCCTTTGCACACATTTGACACTCATAAAGTTTTTCTTGAGTATGAATTCTCAGGTGTTCAATGAGATGTGAAACACGACTGAAAGACCTTCCACAGTTCATACATTCATATGGTTTCTCTCCAGTGTGAGTGCTTTGATGATTAGTAAGTGAAGAGACATGACTGAAGGCCTTCCCACACTCAATACATTTGTAAGGTTTCTCTCCACTATGGCTTATCTGATGTCGAGTAAGGGATGAACTATGGCTAAAAGCCTTCCCACACTCACGACATTCATAGGGTTTCTCTCCTGTATGAATTCTCCAGTGGCGATTAAGGATTGATTGTTTGCCAAAGCCTTTCCCACACTCACTGCATGTAAAGATCTTCTCTCTACTGTAAGTCTGCTGAAGAGTAAGAGATTTGCTCTGGCTAAAAGTTGTCACGCTTTCATTAGAATCCAAAACTTTATTTCTGCCATTGCTTTTCTCATTTTTTACAACTGACTTTTTGTGTACACTTTTCTTTAACCTATGATGTTTATGTGATTTCTCTTCAGCAGAAATTATCTGTGGTTCAGAAAGAGTAGCATTTAAATGGAAGATGCTTTTAAATGTATTGTAAACACTTTGCCCAGCTGGACTTTCTCTAAAGGTGAAGGTCACTGGTCTGAAAAGTTCTATCTGATGTCCACGTTTCCCCTCCATCTTCTCTAGATAGCCCCAGTCCTTGTTAAAATTTGAAAATTCACAATCTTGTTTTAAATTTTTTTCTATTATTACATCTTGAGATGAATCTTCATCATAAATATCCTTTGTTGATACTTCCTTGTTGTCCCATTTTGAGTCCCAATCTGAAATATATCAATAAAGCAAAGCACTGCTTTTTCCATAGTTCATGAAGAATAACTACTATGGTGGAAAACAGGAGATATAGGAAACAAAACCCCTAGAAAACATGGCTCTGCCAGGTGTGGTGACACATATCTGTAATCTCAGCTACTCAAGAGGATGAAGGAAGGGGATCATGAATTCCAGGCCAGATGACACAGGGAGACCCCTATCTCAAAAACAAACAAAACTCTGACAACTCATATATTTTCATGATTTCTAAACAATGCTCAGGTGGAACAGAGAATACAGATTGCTCCCAGGAGCAGGAACAGAGGATGATAAGGGAGAGGGATAAAATATATATAAACTATATGGGAAAAAAATCTGAAAGAAAATTGAAAGGCATTCTAGATTCCAAGCCATCATTTTGTACTTATATTTGTGTGAAAGATCACACTTTATCTCACAGCCTTCTCTAACTTTCAATTAATCTTAATTGTTGCCAGATTAATATGCTTATAATACAGAATTTATACTACTATATGTAACAGTTACAATGACAACAAAATAATCTAAAATTTCTTATGGGTTATAAAGATTTAGGCTTTCTGAGTTTAGGTAGTATCTGTGTGAAATAATGATAATTTACCGGACATTGGAAAATATCATTCCTAGAAACATATTTTAATATGTGCCTTAATTCCTCTAATACTTAATATGAGCTATGAAACTCAACCTTAAGAAAATAGTGATTTTTTTTTTCATTAATTGGTAATTTTTCTTAGCTTAAAACCATCAGGAAGTCCATTTCCTTAAACAGGTTTAAGAAAAAAATAATTTGCTTTATTTTATTTCAAATAAAATAACAATTTGAATTAGTACAATGATGTAACAGTTCACCTTTAATCAAATGACATGAGCAAGAGACACATAACAACCTGGGATGGTGGAATAATTTGGAAATGTAAACTAAGGATCCTTTGGTTTCATTTACATATGGGATCTCTGGAGGTGGTATCCCTAAAATACCTCCACACTCAAAACAAGCACTTTCTTTGCCTGATTATGAGACTCACCTAGAAACATACCTTTTAATGTTTTTTTCTCCACCATCCAGGGTTCTTTTCCATCCTCCAATAAAGAGATCACATGTGGCTTAATTATGGAAAGACCTGCTTACAGAAAGAACATTGTTTAAGCTGTGGTCCTCAAGAACGAGAGGCCATCACAAGAGGGATCAAAGAAAGGGTTGAAGGATGTTCACTGAAATGTGATGATGAGCTTTAGGGAACATGATATAGTAATTCAGCCATTTACTTAGGAGACCCTCCATCAATTCAGAGTGCAAAAACAAGATCTCTCCTACCACACAGGAGGAGAAGATATCCTTACCTAGAGAGGCTAGGTTGTTATAATTCTGGACCATCACATCCTTGTATAAATCCCTCTGAGCAGAATCTAGCCATCCCCACTCTTCATGAGAGAAGTCGATAGCCACATCACTAAATGAGACCTGAAACAGCAAAAACATTTAGGTTCAACCACAGCCTAAGCCTTTTCTTACACCATACAAAGGTAAAATTATCCTGGTAGAGGAAGAAAGTAAAAGAGATTCAGGACTTGTGACACTGGAAATCTGGTTTGTTACATAATAAACAAATAATTATATACAGGACATTATTATAAATAAGAACAAAAGACAAATATAAGAGCTTTGCTTCACAAGAATTAATTATGTCAAAAAGAATACAATTATATAAAATTTTAAAAATTAGTATTTACTGTACAGGGAATAATGGTAGACACCTGTAATCCCAGCACTCTGGGAAGCTATGATAAGAGGATTGCAAGTTCAAGCACAGTGAAGGTAGAAAGTTTCATTAAACAATACTGCATGGGATCATAAAGTCCTGTATATCAGTGTACACTCAAATCCATGTAAGATTTTTCCTAATGGCTGCTTTACTGATGTTTAGAAGGTAATTCAATGAATGATTTTGGCATTAGCTTTTCCTTGTTAAATAAGAGCTTTTTTAAAAAAATACTTTAAGGGCCTGGGATATAGCTCAGCAGCAAAGCACATGCCAGGCAAGTGCAAAGTTGTGAGTTCGATTCCTGGTACCAAAAAAACAAACTTTAAATTGATGAATAATTTTATTTTTAATTTTAATGTAATACAAGTAATAAAGATAATATTAAAAAGTACTCTTGTTTATATAAAAAACAAAATTTCATAACCAAATAATTAGAGAATAATAATAGTGTACCATAATCTTAAAAGAACAGGCAAAATGTTAGAGTACAAATCACTGACAAAAATGACTCTCTCTTACAAAAAAGAAACGACAGACCATAGCAAAAACCTTTCTTTTCAATGAACTAAGAAAAACTAGGAGTATAAATGAAAGATATTAGCAGATATACTAAAATATTTTTGAAACAATGGAACAGATAGTTTGGGGAATTATCTGAACTCCTCCCTACTTCCTATTTCTCTGTCTTCTATTTTGCTCTCTTACCTTCTTTCTGTCCAAGAAACCATGAGATATTTATTTAACCTTGTGTCAAGAAAACACATACATTTGCTATTCATGTCCTTGCCTTTGCAGGTTTTAACTTTCACTCTATGGTGCTGCCTCATCATTTATGTTATTTTATATTATTCACTCAATAAATATTTATTAACCATCTGTTTTGTGCCAGGTACCACTCTAGGTAGTGAAAAGTATAACAGTCAAAAAAAAAAAAAAAAAAGTATTGCTCCCATAAAGAAGAGTTAATGAGCACATGCATCATATTAAACTTACTCAATGGAAGAAAGATAGTCTCTTTAGTAAATGGTACCGCAAAAACTGGCTTTCCACATGCTGAAGACTAACACTAGACCCGTGCCTATCACCATGCACTAAACTGAGGTCAAAATGGATCAAAGATCTAAATATTGGACCAGGAGTATAGCTCAATGGCACAGCGCATGCCTGGCAAGCACAAGGTCCTGTGTTCAAGTTCCGCTACAAAAAAAAAAAAAAGAAAAAAGATCTAAATATTAAAACAGAAACCCTAAATCTACTTGAAGAGAAAATAGGTAAAAATCTTGAAGACATGGGTGTAGGCAGGTACTTCATGAACAAAACCTAGACTGCATGGGAAATACTACATAGAATCAACAAATGAGATCTCACCTTATGCCTTGTTCTGTGCAGCTGTGAAAATTCCTGGGGGAAAGGATAGTGAGAGGATGCAGAAATAAAGCTAAGAGACAGAATGCTGAGGTCAGGTAGAGCCCTCGCTCTGGCGGGGAGGAAAGGAAATGGCCAAGGACTGCAGAGCATTTATTTATACCCAGGGAAGGTTGATGTCAATTTCAACCTCTCTGCCTAGCAACTTGTTTGCCAGCTGTAACAGCTTGTTTATGTGGCTTGCCTGGGGCTGGCTTTGTCTTAGCCTTCCAGGTGTGATGGATCTCTAGCTTCAGCCACTCCCTATAACCTTACTAAAAAGCTTTTGCACAACAAAAGAAATCACTAAGAGTGAAAAGACAATCCACAGAATGGGAAAAAATTAGTCAGTTGTCCCTCAAAGGACTTGTATTTAGAACATATAAAGAATTGAAAAAAGACAGAACCCCCAAATTCAAAGACCCACTCCAAAAATGGGCATCTGAGATGAATACACACTTCTCTGATAAAGAAACACAAATGGCAAAAAATATAAGAAGAAATGTTCAACATCATTGATCATTTAAGAGATGCAAATTAAAACAACTGAGATTTCATCTCACTCAAGAATGGCTATCATCAAGAAATCAACCAATAACAAATGGCAGAGCTGAGGGGAAAAAGGAATCCTTCTCCACTGTTGGTGGGAGTGTATACTGGCGTAACCATTGTCAAAACTGGTGTGAAGAGTCCTCAATAAATTAGGATTAGAGGTCCCATTTGATCCAGCTATTCCCCTTCTGCATTATTTTCCCAGAAGAATTAAAAATATCATGCCACAGCAATATATGTGCACCCAGGTTTATAGCAGCACAATTTGTAATAGTTAAACCTCAGAAACAACCCAAATGCCCATCCACTGAGGAATGCATAAAAAAGATGTATTTTTTTATATAATGGAGTACTACTCAGCCATAAAGAAAGGTAAACTTGAGACTTTTATACATATATGGATGCAAGTCAAGACCATACTCTAAGTGAAATAAACCAGACTCACATATGTAAACATTGTAGAGTCTCACTAGTGTGAGAAGCTGAATGAGTAAACAGGACCCAAAATGTACAATACATATTGTCAAATGGGAAGAACCTGTTCAAAAGAAAAGAGAAAGTGTGATGGGGGAGAGGGGAAAGGAAGGGAAAAGGGAAAAAAAAAAAT